GCAAAGAGAAATGTATGGCCATTAATATCTGGGAGCTTACCACTCTGGCATAGATAGATCAACTGATGAGGCTATTGTTATGGAGGGTTGCAGTGCTATGAGGAAAGTGTTGTTGTGCCATGCCGCAAGCTTGGTTACTAGAACAATTTACTGATAGCTTTGCACTGATGGGGATCCCCAAGTGAATATGCATTACTGATGTGACACACGTACATATTGTTTATTCCTCACACGAGGTCAATGCCTTTATCATCTACAAAGAGGGATATTTCTCTATGCTGCTGCAAAGCCTGCTAGATTCATGGTAGAAGGTTCACCGATATTCACATGGGACAGTCTGAAGAGGAATATGATTTAGAAACTCGGGCATGTTTACTGCAATGAACAGGGCAATTTTTACTCCTCAGATTACAATGAACATTATGTCTAGACTACATCCCTCTTTCGAGAGAGGGATGTAAATTAGACATATCGAAATTGCAAATAAAGCCAGGATTTGAATTTCCCATGCTTCATTTGCATAATTCCATCACAGCATTTTTTTAAACGCTATTTCGAAAGTGAAACTGGCATTTTTTTTTTTAAACGCTATTTCGAAAGTGAAACTGCAGACTAGACGCAGTTCTTTCGAAAAGAAAAGCCTTTTTCAAAAGATCCTGTAAATCTCATTTTTTGAGGAGTACAGGATCAGTCGAAAAAGGCTTTTCTTTTTAAAAGAACCGTGTCTAGACCGCAGATTCACTTTCGAAAGCTTTTTTAAAAAAAAACTGACACGCAATTATGCAAATGAACCATGGGAAATTCAAATCCCGGCTTCATTTACAATTTCAATATGTCTAATTTACATCCCTCTCTCGAAAGAGGGATGTAGTTTAGATGTACCATAACAAAGTTATAATGGTTTCCCTTGCTTAAGCAGCTTTTTACAGGATACTTGAAGAGGTAGAGCTCTCCTCCACAGCAGCTTCAGTATGGTTACCTGCAGAGGGTACTCATGTACTCTTCCAATCTGCCATGTCATACAGTTGTTTCCCCTGAAGAATTTCCTCCTGGTGAGATCCCATACTATCATACAGTTATTGTTTCCCCTGAAGAATTTCCTCCTGGTGAGATCCCATACTATACACAAGTCAAGGCTGCTTTTTCTGGTGTCTTAGGTGTATGAAAAACTGCCCATCATGCCATTCTTGGGTGAGGTGGCGGCACTGCTTGTAAAAACTCAGTCCAGTCACTCAATACAGGCAGGTAGTAGGAGCATTACCATAGGTCCTGATCTTTTCCCTTGTCCTCAGCTCCTTTGCCTTGATTTGGCAAACAGGTCAGGATGCCTATTGCTGTTACTTGCTAAGACAAGGTCTTATAAATGTTTGCATTCCAGTAACTTCTCCAGATGCAGCTGGACAATTGCCCTTTTTGGACAGCAGCATAAGTCCAAGAATGTTACAGGTGTCCACTTAGAAGCACAAGAGGGCATGCCTGCTATAACGGGCATATGATCACTATTACCTGTGAAATAGCATTTACTTTGTATCAAAATGGGGCACATAGGGCTGTGTGCCAGTATTTAAACAGGGAGGTGTCTTCCAGTCAAAATTAAGCAGTAGAGGGCATACAGATTGAAAGATAGCCTGATCCAAGTGTGAAGCAATGCAGCGTGGGACAGCAACCAGAAGCAGAGTATTCAGGAATACATCCATATAAATCATAAACCAACCAGCTCACTAAAAAGTAGACCCACTCCACTTCCAAACAGTATTAATTACTGTGGCCTTACACCACAAATAATTCACTTTTCAAGATGTTTGTGCATGGACACAGGGCACTTTAATGAGAACCTGAGATTCAGGATTCAAGGAACCCAGCCCAGATGGTTTGGATTGTTATCCACAGACCAGCTCTCTCACTTTTTAAAGTTTACATTCATACATAAAGATTAACATTTATTATACCAAATTTAGACATTCAGTTTAGTAAAATAGGCTATATGCTTTAAAAAAAAGGGGGGGGGGATTCATTTCTTTAAACAGACTGCTTCAAGGTATACGGCCAATTTCCATAAATGAAAGTATGCACGGTTGTAGGCAAGGTTTCTCATCTCAACAGATTGCACATACTGTGCTGCTTACAGCATACTACCTCTGTCTAGAACCATGGTCACCAGCTCATCGATCACAATCGACTGGTCAATTTTGGGGGCACGACCAGTCAATCGTGAGATCTTCCAGCATCTCCCCCTTGTTCTCCACCACCACCTCCAAGAACGAGCACACACTGGTACTTCCTCCAGCATGGCGGGATGGCTAGGAGACCCTGGCTGCACGCCAGATCCTGCATCTCAGCAAGCAAGCACGCTGTTCCTCCCCTCCCCAAAACAGACGGCGCACTTCCTGAAAAGCTGGATCTGGCACGCAGCCGGGGACTTCCTTCCCCGTGCTACCTACCTGCCTGCCTTCCTTCCTGCCTGCACCCAGGGGGGAGGAGGAGTCGCCGTCTGCCACTAGCTCCAACTTCTCAAGAAGTGCACTGGATGTTTAGGGCAGGGTAGAAGCAGCGCACAGACTTCCTGAAAAGTCAGAGCTGGCACGCAGCCCTGGGACATGGACACACCCCGTGCAGGAAGGAAGGTACACAGCACGGGGAAGGAAGTCCTTGGCTGCGCACCAGATCCCGACTTCTTAGGAAGCATGCTGGCTGTTTAGGGAAGGGGAGGACTAGCACTTGCAGAGGGATCCCCAGGTACTGGCTGAGCTGTCCCTGTCACTGCCTCCTAGCCAGACCCCCCCCACCAGCACCCTGCCAAGACCCCCGCCCCAGCACCCTGCCCACTGCCCAGACCCCACAAATATCCTGCTCCCTGGCCAGGCCCCCACCAGCACCCTGCCCCCTGGACAGGTCATCTGAAGAAGTGGGCTGTGCCCATGAAAGCTCGCGATACCATCTACATGTTTTGTTAGTCTATAAAGTGCTACCAGACTATTTGTTGTTTTTTAAGTTTATCCTGTACAGACTAACTCGGCTACCCCCTGAAGCTTCTAAAATACTTATGACTTCCATGTCAAATTTATCATTTTCACTTTTCCTTAACTTCTAGTAGAAATATTTTCCATTAAATAAAATCAAACCCATAGTTTCTTAAAAATATACCCAAAGAAAACATTTTTTTAAATTTGCATACTTATTACTCAAAATAAACCCTGTCATTGACACAGACCCAAATGTTACTCTTTAGGGTGTTCATATCACTGAATAATTTGCACAAATGTCAGCTGTAATTTTTAAAAATCCTTTCTTGCCTCTGAATCTTCAACATCTATAAAAAATACTTGTTTTGAGCATGCTTTACACATTTATAACATTTGACATTTTGCTGTATGCACCACAAAATTTAAGTTTCAAATACCATGCAAACAGGAAATCTGATCATACCAACAGTAGCCATTTGCATGGCCCAATATCAAATATTAGTTCTTGGTTGCACAGTTATGCGTTACAAATCTTTTTCCACAGGTTGTATAATTAATTGTAATTTATAACGTCTAAAATGTGTTTCTTATGGGACTTGTGGCCTTGAAACCTCTACCTTACCATTGAAAAAACACTTAGTGTCTAAGTGTTATGTTTATATATAATATATAGATTCACATGAAGGAGAAAGAGAGAGCACTATATAGGTGGCATAACTAGGACAAAAAAAAGGTTTTAATTCCAAAAATAGATTGACTTTCATTACAGAACATTCATCATATAAATACAAAGTAGAAATGTTCTCCTGTGTAATTACTTTCAGATATTTAAATATTGGTTTCAAATATTAATAGTTCATTAAGCAAACTGTAGAAGTTCCATAGATGTGTAAATTGTTCATAATTGGAGTATCTATCTAAACACTTATTTCATTTTAATAAAGTAAGAAATCTAGAACTAAAATGTGCTTTAGTGTTGCGTTCCAAAATATTTGTTGACAATGAATGCTGAAATATGGCAAAATACTCCTGCATTTTTCACAAAGTTCTTTGCTTCTTTTTATTCATACAGGTTGAACCTCTCTAGTCCAGAACTCTCTGATCCGGAAACATCAGTGGTCCAGAATTATTTTAGTTCGCCGGATGTACACTTTTCATGGTGTGGCCAAGTTTTCTGTGGTCCTATAAAGTTTGTTTACAGCTACCACTCATAGTTCTCAGTGTTCTGGGCTGTTGTTTAGATCTAATTTTCCCTAAATGTCCTCTAACAGCCCAGTAAGCAGTGGAAGCTTTGGTAATGCTACTTGACAATAATGACCTCCTGTGGTCTGGAAAATTTTCTGGTTTGGAACTGTCAGGTCCCGTGGATGCCAGACTAGAGAGGTTTAACCTGTATATGCAAAATATAATATCCAATTGCTCGTATGATACTAAAGGTTATTGTTGTGTAATGAAAATTTCACAGACAGGAAACATTAAACATTTTTCTCAAATGACTACATAAAAAGCTTTTAAAATATATTAAAAATGTCTTCCAAGAAGATGTACATGTTAAGCAAATAACTTACATTAAAATGGGAAAAAAAAGAGATAGCTATAATGAAATAATAGGCACTTAATTAAAGCATTCGTATAGTAATAATTCATCTCTTGAGGACAAAGCTTAGTGATGCTCTATATAACTTAATCCAGCAGTGGGACACAGCTTCTTGGAAAATAGAAGCTGGAAGCGCTTAGGATGCTGTGTTACTCTTGAGATTCGTTTGCTGCCTAGTCATAGGAAAATTTTGGCAGAGAGATCCATTAACCTGCTTTTACACCTGCATGACCAACACTACAGAAAGTAACATGAAAGGGCGGGGAGGGGAGAACTGAAAGCATCAGTGGCCCCGTGATATTGACCATGACTACTGCTTCAGAGCAAAGATTTTTAGACAACCATGGCAAAATACATTAAACTACTTTATCGTTTAAAAAAAAAAAAAACACTCAATTTTAACAATTATATTTTATATAAACTCATCATAGGCTTCTTACCTGGGCTCCATCCTTCAGTTTCAAGATGCACTCCATTGTATTGATAGTGATGACAACTGGTTCTGAGCCTAATTTTGTCCATGGTACATGGATTCGTAATTCATGAATATGTCCACTTAAAAAAGTAAATGGTAGTTTCAGCTCCTAAAAGAATGAAATAACCAATTAGATAATAAAAATTAAAAACAAAATAAAAATTGTCAAGGACACATTTACTACTTTATAATAGACTAAGAAAGTATCTTAAAAGCTGCCTGACACCCTCCCTGTCCCACCAAAAAATAAAATCCCTGAAGAGTTAGTTTATCCACCATCAACTTGTATGCCATAATTCTTGGCACTTTAGTTAATAACTGGTCACATGCATTTATTCACACACATTTACTTGTGTGTTCAAAGGAAACATCTGGATTGTAATATATCCCTGATATTTAAAAAAGATTTAAAACAGCCTCTTTTCTATGCAGCTACAGTGACATATATCACTACCCTAGAAACATAACTAGAGCACACTCACAACAATTAACAATATGAAAGTTAATTATATTCATATGCACACTGTATTATTTCTATACTGCCTGGGGCCTTACAGATTAATATTAAAAATGCATCAAGGGCTTAGCTCCAAAAACCTTTTAATACTTCAATGAGAGTTGCAAAGTGCTCAGTATTTCTTAGGAAGAGGCACAAATTAGATCAAAGACAGCAAGATATGGCAAACACAGATATGGAGCTGATATTTAAAAGAGTGAGCACTATGGTAAAAAAAAAAAAGGATGAGAGATGACTATTACATATCATCATCTTGTTGATTCCTTTCACATATATAGAAATCTGATTTTGTACTCTTTTTCCTCCAGTGTTAACAGAATAGTCAAGGTTAAGGGAACAAGTCAAACAGAAAGAAACAAGCCTATACTCCTGGAACTTTTCTAGTTCTTTTCAGTCTTATCTTAGGGTTGGTCTCCAATATAGACATATGTAGTACAGCTATGTTGGTCAGGGGTATGGAAAATCCATATCCTTAAGGGACGTAGTTATATCAACCAAACTCAACAGACACTGCTATGTCAAGAGGACGGCTTCTCCCATTAGTACAACTATCGCCTCTTGAGGAAGTGGAATACCTGTACTGAGAAGCTCTCCCATCTATGTAGGTAGCATCTTCACTAAGCCCTACAGAGGCACAACAGTTTTTGAAGAAAAGCTGTTCTGCTAATTTTGTGATGCAGTTTCCTTTTGAGGGAGCTGGGCAAGAATATAGATGTTTTGCTCTCTGCCTTAATTTAATTGAAGTCAATTCAAGGTGCAGACCTGCTTCCTAGAAACTAGTCAGTGAGTAAGTGGAGATTTCTGAAAGAGGTGATTGTATACATGCTGTTTGTGACTGTACCAGCTCAAGAACTAGCATATACTATATAAATAAAAACAAGTTACACAAAGAAAATACCCATAATCCAAACTACCAATTTCTCCTTCAAAGAAAAACTGACCCATAAGGCTCTTTCACTTATTGGACAGGCAATACAAGTACAGGTTGCATCTCCATAAACCACAATTCTCTGATTCTGAACCATGGATATTCCAAGATCAGAATCCCAGTGCGCCACAGGGAATGAGGAGGTTAGGAGCCCAGTGCTATGTAGTAGGAGCCAGCGCGCAGCTCAGCTAGGCTGAGGGTCCAGGAGCCGGCACAGCTGAGCTGCAGAGTCTGGGAGCCAGGAAGCCCAGTGTGTGTGTGGGGGGGGGGGGGGGGGGGGGGTGGGGGGGGGGGGGGGGGGGAGCCATAGTTGTATCCGGACCAAGAATGTGAACGAGATCAGTAGTAGTAAGAATATCTGCTATGGGGGTCACGGTAGTAGTGATCATCAGAATGGTACAGCCTTTCTAAGGGCGAATGTCTTTCAGGATAATATGCTGGACGGCGTTGCCAGCGATAAGACACCAGCAGCCATCAGAAGAAATTAAGAGTTAACACTGTATCTGGAAACTTCTCAGAAAGAAGTGAGGGTATCCTAAAGGCAGAGTTCGAACATTATCAGCTGGAAATAAAACCACTGATTAAGACACCATGAATTGTCAGGAGAGATTCTGAAACCCAGCTACAAAACACCAGCTCTGTGCTGGAAAAGTGGACTGACGATGGTGACCAGTGACTTAACTAGCATGGACCAAAAAGATTTTCAGGAAATAAAAATAACCAGAAATCTATGGCCAACACAGAACTTGCAAACAAAACTAAAATTCAGCAATGACTTAAAGGACTGAAAAACTAAGGGGGAAGGGAGCACACAACTTTGTGTGTCAGCCTTTTAGAATAAGAAGCAAGCCAGAATTTATGTAAAACTGGAGATTTCTACTCTATTTGTACCCTGCAGGAACTTTGAGGAGGAAGACACAAATATTCAAGGGCTAAAATAATTCAGAAGTCTCATTATCGTTAAGGAAAAAACTTTCTAGAAAACTTGCTTAGATAATTTTACCATACCCCAAATGAATATTTTGAACAGAAGAGTGTTTAGGCATGAGGGGGTTCTCACTACTAGCTTGAATGGTGCTGTAGAAGTTAAACTACAAAAAGAGAAACTGAGGCTAGGAGAAGGGGACCCAGAATAGCAGGGGGAAGAGAAAGGCAGAGTGGGGGGAGAAAGAAGGGAAACCTGGGGATGATGAGAAGGGGTCCTCCGGCTGGTGGGGAGCTGGAAGGAAACCTGGGATGGTGCAGAAGGGGTTGGGGGGAGAGAGAAGGGCCTCAAGCTGGCATGGCTGCAGCTTGGCTCTCCCCAGTGGCTGGGGGGTGGGAGCCAGGATTACCTATCCCCAGTGAGAGAGGAGTTGGTGAGTGCAGCGAGCAGGGGACACACACCCCTAGGGTATGTCTACACTACCCTCCTATTTCAAAGTAGGAGGGTAATGTAGGCATACCGCACTTGCAAATGAAGCCCGGGATTTGAATTTCCCGGGCTTCATTTGCATAAGCCGGGCGCCGCCATTTTTAAATCCCGGCTAGTTCGAACCCCGTGCCGCGCGGCTACACGCGGCACGGAGTAGCTAGTTCGGATTAGGCTTCCTAATCCGAACTAGCTGTACTCGAGGAGCCTAATCCGAACTAGCTGTACTCGAGGAGCCTAATCCGAACATACCCCCAGTGAATTATTAAGATGGTTTCAGAACATTTGAAATGTTTTTAACATAGTTTAATTTAGTTAGTAAAAGATTGATACTATTTGTAAAAGGGAGAAACAGTTTAGTTAAGCACTAGTACTGAGAAATGACTAGTTAATGAAAACAGGTATAGGCGGTCTCTCCAAGCCCATTTACTTGTTCCTTTTCATCCACTATAATAGAGAATGTTGGATTCCTATAGCAGCTAATGGCTGACCAACAGAGGGAAAAAAGGCTTCAAAGAGGTCTACATGGGAACAAAACAGCAAAAATAATAATAATTATATGTGAATACTGATCTACAGATAGCATCTTGAACATTTTACTGAACTTCTTTTAAATTGAGCCACATACTGATAACATACCTGTTCAAGTACATCCAGCTTTAATTCAAGTTTGCTAAGAACCACATCTCCTCCCCATAGAGACAGCTGCAGATCTGAGGGTTTCAAGTTCTTAATATAGCGATTCACATAACTCATTAAAATGGGAGTCACATAGGACTCTAGCATTGTGGAAGATTTCTGGATTATACGCCAAGCCCTAAAAAAAGATCAAATTAAAAATTACCACCAATAGTTACGTAATGTTTGGAAATGTGAAAATCAGGGGTTAGATTATGGCTGTGATAGTGAAAATGTGTAATGGTTAACGTTCATGGTTACACGTGCACGCGCGCGCACACACACACACACACACACACACACACACACACACACACCCACCCACCCACCCCACCATGGTGCTTTTAAGCCAGCTCCCCAAGCATACCAGCTCCTGTAGAGTCGCCTATACCCCCACACATGCTGCTGCCTCTGCATCAGAGGCAGCAGCATAGCCAGAGCACAGGTGGGAGACAGGCCGGAGCTGCTGCTTACAAAGAGACGCCTCCCATCCTATATGTAAACGTGTAACCACTGAAATTGTCAGCAGTTACATAGTTTACCTGAATACACACATTTTAACATCCTTAGGTTATATATGCTTTAAAAAAAATAACAATCAAAATATACATATATTTAATATTTGTGTTCATGAAGTCCCAACCTATTTGCATTAGAACCAATAATAAGCTTGTACAATATGTAAAAAACAAAGCTGCATGACAGAATGGGGGGCCATATCCTTACATAACACTTTACAGGAAAATAGTAATGTCTGGATCTAAATAAATCCCACCAATTTATAAACTCACCTTTTGCTTATGACCACAGACTGATTAGAATATTTGCTTAGACTGAAACAACCAAAAATTGTTCAAAAATTTATCCACCCTGGTGCTATCTACCAGGGTGGATAAAAATCAATAATTTTAAAAAAAACTTAAAATTGGATTTTTAATAAAAAAACCACTAAATTTCTCATTTAAAAACAACAATTACAATTAAATCTTATCACAAACACTTAGTCTCATAAAAATGAATTAATGCTTCAGTCTGTCCAGCCTAACAATCAGCTCTTGCTCCTTGAAAGTTCTGGGCTTTCAATTTTTGTTTCTCAGCAGACTAAGTAGTAACATATACAAATTGCACCTCCCTTAACCAGGACTCTCTTCGTGAGAGAACCCTGGAGTGAAAGGACCAGCAGCTGGGAGGCCAGTGGGTCTGGTAGAGGAGAAGCTGCAGCAGCAGTGCCAGGGCAGCCCGGGTGGGGGTGGGGCACTATCTGGGCTGCCTGCCACCCAGCAGCCAGGCCAGGACCATGGCTGCCCAGGAGGGGAAGCCTGTCTGGGGCTGCATGAGCCCAGATGGCAGCAGGGCCATACTATACTGGGCAGTGGCAGCGGGCTC